CTGTCGAGGGCCATCCGAAAAGTAGATTGCGAGACGGCTGCAGCTCACATGCGCATTGCCTGCAGCCATGCCCAGGGACCCATTCTGAGGAGAAAGGCACAGCAGTTTTCACCTAGCTGCAGGGCCTCGATTGATGCTACTGCACGTAGCTGCAGTAGGCTGCGATCGATCCAGCGAGGGTCTGGGGCAGCTCAAATCAATAATGTTTTCCTTTTGGCGTCGGCGATCCTCCCATTACAAATTGGATAATTACAAGCGCAGCTCATCTCATTTCATCTCATCTCGCTGTGTTACATTGTATCGCATCGCGAGGCCAGGAACACTAGGTCAGGCCGGGCAGCAGACAAAGAAATATCGAAATAGTCATGAGGCTGAGCCGAGGGGGCAACCCCAGCCAGCATGTGCGTTTGCTGACAATGGGCAGGGCTACCAGGCTCAACCCCAGGCTTGGGCCGGGCCAGAGTCACCAGCCACACAAAAGAGAATTACCGAATTGCGAAGTGGTGTTTTCTATCCAGGTCCGGGCCGGCCACAAGGCTGGAACTGGTCCTCCGGGGGTTCATCGCCAAGTCGAGTCGGTCAGCTGCGCAGGCAAATGGCAGATTCACTAGGTCGCCGACTCGGCAGGGGTCAAAGTCAATACTGGGCCTCCAAACCTTGGCCCTTAGCTTCCTCTCCGAGGGCCTTGTACGCTCTCACCCCGCACATCTTGGTCACCTTGGCTGCTAGTCGATTTATAATGGCAAACGGCGAAATTACATACAGGTCAGCAGAGGGTCCAGCTGCAGGTACGCAGTAGTCAAGCAGCTATCCTCCATCAGATGACCGTCGACCTTGTCGATTGCCACCCCTCTATTTAGATCCCTACTGCGTTTCGGGTCGTGGTGGACGGACAGTTGCGACCAGGACGGGCCCTAGTGAAGCATACCCCCAGCTAGCAAAGTTACCATCAAGAGACTCCGATCGCTCCCCATGCTCCTGGGGAGTGATACACTTGAAGCTTACAGTTCGCGCTAGTTTGGAGGCCATCGCCATTCCAGCCACCGATGTAATAAATATGTGATGATAGACGGATCGTCGCCGACGTGAAAGGCAATTGCTGACCTCTTCCCCAATTCGGAACTAAGGTAGGGCGGACAACCACACCATGGCGAATCAGAGGGCCATCCAGGAGCATTGCTTCCCCTCACCTATGTCTTTGTCTGGGGAGGACAAAGACAAGATCAGCAAAGAAAGTCTCTGATGCCGTTAGGATCTCGCATTGCCTATTTCATTACAACATGAAGCTCAACTCAGGGGACCCTGGCAAGTTCCGCCGTCGATGGAAGCCAGCCAGCCACGCAGCCATCCCAATTGGAAATCCAGGTGGAGGATTATACGCTTTTTGGTGCATCGAATTCTGCATTTGGGCCATGGCATTGATCGGGCAGCTCCGTGCGTACTTGCGGTCCACGTAACGCAAGTACGTTCTCCCCAGCTATGCATGCATGTGTGTGTGTGAATCCACAACTACTCCAAACCCATGTCCCGCTATTTCCAATCACGCTCGGCCTCGAGATCGGTATCAAAGTCCCTCTGGCCAATCCGAGGCCGCAGACGTGCTTTTCCAAGGCTTCGGGTTGGCGCTAGCTACGCCTCTCGCCAATCCACCGTGAACACCTCAGCTGACGATGGGTCATTGGCTATTACCCTAGACGCATAGGCGAAGATCATGCCTTTTTGCTTTTTCCTCCAAGATGTAGGTTATAATTCAGCCGAATAATTATGTACACGAAACGCCTGCTAGAAGGCGATTCGGGCCATCCATGCAAGCTGCAAACTTTCCTTTTTCTTGGCCACGCGCGAGTGGATTGACATGTCCAGATCTCATCTCATCGGGTTCCCAGCCCGCTCACTGGGCAACTAAAATAACGGACATGGAGCTGCTTCCTCTGCCTCGCTTATCGAGATGAGCAGGAACAGCAAATCTCACGCTGCATTGCATTGAGGTCGACTCTCGCCAATGCCTGTCTATATGCCAATTTCCATATGTTATAGCTCATCACCTGCAATATCTGCCATATCCAGCCGCAGAAGGCGAGATCATGCTCCGCTTCACCTGATAGCCTGTGATAGGTGAGCGACCACATCAAATCCTGTCCCGTATTTTTTTGTAAATCCCCATCAACTAAATTAACTCGGTGACCCGCTTCCCTCCCATCTAACAGCTGTCTCCATCTTCATCGTCTTAATACACGCGTTTTCTCACCGCCACTCATTCTCCTCTTTGTGGCTCCCCCCTCTTTGTTAAAGTTCAACGATTTCATGATGGGGCGCCCAGGTCGGCGATATGCGATGCACGAATGAGATGGCCTCGCCGGCCCTACCCCCCCCTCTCGGCTGCCGCTCTTTCTTAGCTCCCTCTTGACCGTCAAAGTCCGGGCCTATTCCCATCGGTACCTGTCCTACTACGCACTTGACTCTAGGCCCTTCCGCACTGGTTTCCCCCTTCAGGTTTGGGGCGGTCTGCCAGGCACAAGGCACCTGGATAAACGAGCAACTGATTCATTCGGCCGAAAGCCTCACGACAGAAACGAGATGCTAAAAAAGTGAAAAAAAGGTACCGAGACAAGAATCAGGAGGCAGTCCTCCACAATCCAGGCCCGCCACACGCAGTCGCCGATCAAACTGTAGCGCCAGCCGTATTCACGTACTGAACAGACATGCGCGTACACCACCACGAAGCGCATCGTTCTGCTTGAAGCAGGAGGTCTCGCTGTGTTTTGCGTTGCCGACCTGGATTGCACTCTCCAGCTGAGGAGTTTGGCGATGGTTTGCTTGGAAACCCCACCTCCAATACGACACTCCCAAGACCCTCCATCCCTCCCTTGCAGTGCGTTCTCGTGCTGAATTGACCTGTTACCTGCTCCCATTGGTCCCCCGCGCCATGCGAATCATCTCTCTGGTACTTTACCTGCTAAGTCTGGTCATGGGATCGACGCACCACTTCATTCACCCTCTCCACCACCCTTATAAGATATCGTTAAGACATGCATCAAATGCGCACGCTAGCGAGGCAAAGTCCGGCCCAGCAGGAAGTGAAAATCGTCCTTGCGGCCGTCCGCCAGCTTGCTTCGTCCGCCCGTAATCCCGCAAACCCCCGAGGCCCTTCCCCCCCCTAGCAGCTTTTGAGGCCATCACGGAATTTGCGGTAAAGGCGTTCAACCTGGTCCTTGTCAGAAAAGTTTTGTATCCGCACCTCCCGCACGCCTTTTCCCTTTGATGTGTTCATTGACTGAAACAGATGCTGGGCGGCGATCAGCAATTACGCTCGCTGATTCGCTTACCAAGCTTGCTTGTTCCTTGTATCTAGCCTTCGTCCCATCATATTAGTGTGCTTGTTTTGATCCTCCTTCTCTTTTTGCTTTTACCACTCCGGTGTATCAAAAGAATGTTGTTGAGGCGGTAAAGTATGTAAGCGGGAAAGAGCAAGGAAACCTGTTTTCCCTTTCCTAGCTCTGCATCTGACATATCACACACTGTACATCAATGCAGGCATCCCAACGGTGACAAATGGAACGGATCCACGTCCGCAGGATCTACAAACCGTTCTGGAGTACACAGATCGCCAAGTGGACGGCGGTACGCTGTGCTTCGTCATCGCCACCAGCATCACTTCATCATACAGTGTCAATCGTCGGAGCCTTCGGGAAAGGATGTGCTCGATTCTGAAACGCAGCTCAACCAGGCCCTGCTCCCCCTCTGGACCCTTATTGAGCGCGATCGCCCACGATTGATATCATCCCACCCTGGGATGCGTGCATCGGATTTACATGCGTGGAATTCTATGACGTTGGCCCGCGCATCCGTGCAAGGGTCGACCACGTTTCGGATTTATCTCCCATTTATCTCGACCAATGCGCCAGGCGCGTGCGTGCAGAACAGAAGACATCATTTTGCGTGATCTGCATTTTCACTTTACACGTAACTGAGTCCTACTGGTATCGCGAATGCCTACAGCCCGCACACGACTTAGACATCCGTTGTCCGCCCGCCCTTTCAGCAGGACGGCAGGCAAGCCTGACTGATTGATCATCGCCCATATCACAAACAACCGCGTATCACGGCCGGTTCCTGAGACACCCGTCTTCCAATTAACGGGCGCTTGGCTACGACAAAGCGACTCATCACGATCCCATCTTCCTGGACTCACCCTCGTCATCGGCTCCCAAGGATTGATGCCCGATTAGGGGTTTGCGAGGTGGGAAATCCTGGGATCGCGGGACGATCGGATGGGCCTTTGCTTCTGCTTTTCCCCCAAGCTTACTTCTTGTCAATGCTTTTTTCTCTTTTATGTGCGCGTGAGCAAATCGTACATGCTGGATCCCTGCCTGAGCAACCTTCGCCCCCAGGAAAAGGATCAAACCTTTCATCCTTCTCCCCCATGCCTCCCCCATCGTCGGGATTCAACTCCCTCCCATCAGCGTAAAAACGTGGGTATCGTAGTTTTCGAAAAGTAATAGTACAAGAAGGGGGTTAATTCGCGACCGAGCCGCGACACACTCCTCGCCACCCCCTACTTCTCCCCCTCCCCTGACGAAGAGATGCTCATCGCGATGAGCACCCAAGTCGTGATGCAATAATGTGTGACCATCAGCGTCCAGCAGCGCTGTGCCGTGTTCTTCCCCCTTTTACCCCCTTCCCGCAAAACTTCGGTATACAGAAGTGCCAAATAGGTTTGATCAAGACGTTCTCCCAGTCTCACTCAGCCTTGCTCGCCAGAAATCTCTCGATAGTATACCAGAAATACCGATCGAGATCGAGGCTTGAGCTCAGCCGTGTTCTTTATTTCCTTACGCCCCCCCCTCCCCTGCCCTGCGCTACAAAATAGCGTAGGGGGAAAAAGCAAAAGAGAAACATGGGAAAAATTGAAACCCAGGACCCAGGGCCCAGGATGACCCGGACGGCTGGTATCGACTTGTCGAATTTCTCCCAATTTACTTTTTTTTCTTTCTCTTTGATCACCGGAGAATGCCATCGCTCTCGCCTTTCAGCCGCTCGACCCTCTTCTGCTCCCAGTTCTCGAGGTCCCGCCCGGCGAGTTTCTAAATAGAATCGGCGATCAGTTGAGACATTCTCAATATTTGCATCTTCCTTTTTTCTTTTCTCTCCCCAAAATTGAAAACCCCATTTCGTAATTTCGCCAATTGGAGCCTCAATTCCCGAGGGAAGGGAACAATGGCCCAAAAGAGGCAGGGCTCAGGTAACAGCCTAAAGAAAAAAAAGGAAGAAAGAAACCTACATAGTACTCCTCGCGCATGTCGACCTTGCGCGGCGCCCTCCGGACGTTGAGCTCCTCGTCCTTTGTCATCTGGCGTACCTTGCGGTCGTAGCGCTCGTAGCGGATCGCGGTGGCGGGCGTGAGGACGAAGGAGCCGGCGACGATGACGGTCATGAAGGGCAGGCCGAAGGTGAGGAAGGGGTGCCGGTTCATGAGGGATCGGTACTTGGCGGCGATGCCGTTCATGCTCGCCGACGAGCGGAACTTTTTGTTCTGGAAGGTCCCCATCGTTTTCTGTATTCTGCTGTAATGCCAATTGATTGTTGTGGAGGTTCCGGTGAGGGTCGTTCTTGGAGGATATCGTGGGAGTTGAAGAGTGGTCTGACCAAGGTGGATGACGGCAAGCTTCGGGATGGAGATGATCTCGTGGTGGGTTTCGGGAGAGCGCCTGTCAAAAAAAAATGGATGTGTCAGCATTGCTTCATGATGTGAAGACTCGAGACCCACCATCGCTGTCGTTGAGTTGGGATATACACAAGAACGTCTCTAACAAATTTGAAGTAAAATGAAGAAAAATAAATAAATAAAACTTCCATTAGCAGAGTTTCCAACCCAAAAGCTTCAAGGGAATATGTCTAAACTAGATATCCTCTCTATACTTACTTGTCTACCACCGCCCTCGAGCTACCCTATATCAAGCCAAGAACATACCTCCTACAGTTAGAGACAATAACGTCACATGGGCACCTATATCAATTTTGAGGTATATCATAACCTTTTATCATTACACATCTGTCTTCAATCTAGTGTGATAATCTAAAATGACGAGGGAAAAAAAGAAATCGTTAAAACCATCTCAGTATCATGTGGATGATGAACAAATCTACGTCGCTAAACGAGGGCAACTCCCGTAAACCCCAAAAACAGACAAACAACATAAAGGGAACTCTATCAAAACCAAACCCAAAAGAAAACAAGAACGCAAAACAGGCTAAACATTGCTAAGACACAAAAAACACAAAAAAAAAACACAAAAGCAGTCAAAGAGGAAAAAATAAATCATCCTCACGTCACCTCGTAAAGTCGTCATAATACCGCGAAAGGGTATAATCCTCGAGATTTAAGTCGAGAACGAGCGAGCCACGGGTCCTGTAAAACGACGAGGGGAACTCGTGGCTGCCGGAGCTGGTATGGCTACTGTGGCTCGTTTGGGGGCCACTGCTCTCGTAGCCCGCAAGACTCCCGAAGCTGGCATGGCTCACGTGGTTCGCATTGCTCCCGTGGCTAGCCTGGCTGACGGTGTTGGCATCGATTGGGCTGATGCGATTCCGCGGAATGTCTAAACGCGGTGCCACCCGCGACGAAGAGTCGCCAGCGCGTTTTGCGTTCTCATCTCCGTGGAATGTGAACTCGGCATCGGGGCCGAAGTAATCCTCGCAAAAGGGGGACGAGGGATTGGTTGCGCTAGAGACATTGGTAGGGGGCGGCTCACCAGTCATCGAGACCTCTGGATTGTTCGCTAGGTTCTCGTTGCTGTTCACATTGAGCTCAGTTAATGGGTCACGATCCGAGGATGGGAACTTCTCCCGAAGACGGTAGTAGACTTCGAGGTCGATATTGAACGCGCGGCAAAGAGTGGGAACATCCTGAAGCAGGATATAGGAACCACTGTGCGCACCACCCTTAACAACCTCCTTCTTCATCTTCGGAAAGCGGGTGAAATACGCAAACAGAGTCCGCCGGGACACGTTAGCAATCTTGACGAGGTCAGTTGCCTTGATAAGGCCGGCCTCCGGCCTGTACGCGATCTCATGGTTGTTGTAGATGAGGTGATTCTTCTGCGGGCCGCGCTGATACCTCAGAAGAAAGTTCTCCTCGTCCGGCGGAACTGACTCCGGGAGCATGGCAATCATGTCTGCTAGCTCAGCCTCGAGGCCCACGGCGCGGATCAGCAGGATACCATCCCGGAGCGAGATGTATTTTCGATGACCCTCCCTTGTCACGCGTCCGAGCCTGGAGAGCTTCTTCTTGAATGCCCGATGCTGGTCCTGAGACTGGTTGCAGGCGCGAAGAATAGACTCTAAATCCCACTGCTTTTGAGCAGTTCTAAACAAGACCTGCTTCCCATTGACCTCCATACGGATGATATTATCACCCTGCACCACCCTCGGAGATGTATTTTGCAGCTGAAGGGGTTCAGTAGAAGCATGGGACATGGGGCTTGAGGTGACCGCGTCATCATTTATGAACGGAGATGCGCTGGGGTCGACCCTGTTCACCACACTGGGGGATGTGTCCTGCAGCTGAAGGGGCTCAATTGAAGCTTGGGACAGTGGGCTCGAGTCCACCACATTCTCGTTTATGAACGGAGCCATGTTGGGGTCGATGTCGTTCGCCCAAAGACCGCCCATAGGCTGGAAGGGCCCAGAACAGTACGCGCTGGAGCTCTGGGAGAAGCCCAATCCCATTTCAGGGTTTTGGGCAAAGTCCAAGCTCATATCATTACTGTCAATGACCGGCGAGACTGCATGCTGGACCCTCCCGCCCATGGCCTGGAGGGGGAAATAAAAGAGTGTTGATTCATGGTTTTCCAGCCTCATATCGATATTTGTGAAAGGAACAAACTCAGGCGAATTTTGACTTGAGTATTGAGGCGAGACCGGAGATAGAAGGTGGCCATTGGAAATTTGTCCGTGAGAGCAAATTCGGATGAAGCTGGTCGGGGAGAGAACGACGTCAACGGTTTGTGCTGTCAGAAGACTCCTTTGCGTTGAGACACTGGGATTATTGAGTGCTGATTCAGGATATCGTATTAAGGTCCCGGTACGACTATGGTTCTTGAGTTGGATTTCTCCTGTTTCAAAGTCGACTTTAATGGCAAATTGCTTTGGGGAAGTTTGATCAAGAACGATATCACAGTCTGTTGGATTGCTACCGAACAGGAAACCACAAGAGGGGTCTTTGGGCTTATTATAAGTGGTTATGCGGAGAAAGGGCGAGGGGTTAGGCAAAGCAGGTAGCCGGGGTGACAGTGCTACTGGCGAGGCGGACCAGTAGAGGTCTGAGTCATTGGTGGTGGAGGACGGGTGCGAGGCGAAGGCGTCCGGGAGAAGGCGCTGGTCTCCAAGCCGCGTGGCGAGCTGGTCTGTGAAGTGAATAGTGCAAATGGTTCTTGCACTTGATGATGGAGCATCTACTTCCATTCTCGTAGCTGGGGAGGTCGGGCGGGTTCAGGCTCGTGGCAAATCATTCTAGAACCTGAGGATGCCCTCTCCTTTTAGAAGCCTGGCCTTGCCTGGCAATTCCAGGCAATCGCGCCAGGCTGCGGGCCAGCACGATGGGATACCATACCCATACATAGCCTCCGCCTCCTGTGGTGTGGCTTAGCCAAAGAGGACTGTGGTTGTCTTGTTCATACATATCAGAGAACAACAGCCGTTGAGAGAAGGCCGTGTTGGTCGTCTGCGAGAACCCCAAAGACCCGTTTGGCGGCCAGGCTGTCAGGCTCCCGAGCCAGGTGGTAAGCCACCTGTTGCCACGATTGGCTGGCCGAGGGCTTCAAACCCACAGTACAGCTGGACCAGGGCCGCCGTGATGGCCTCAGCGCCACAGTCACAACCCCGCATTCGAAAAACGCCCGCCTTGTCGCCTTGCCGGTTTGAAAAGGTACCTTGGTGTTCACCGAGACCGGCTGGTGACTGAAGTACCTTGTCACGTCTTTTTTGACACTTACCCTGCTACCGGTCGCCCAGTCCCCTCCACCAGCCCCTGCCGTGGCCCTGGTCTCCCGGCGTGGGTCTGCCACAACGCTTGCTCATGCAGCCACATGCTGCTGCTTGCCGTCGGGAGGACTTCGAACATCGTTATCACAGTCGCATCGTGAACATTCGAGCATCACTTGGAACCAACAACACACTAGCTCTCCATGTCACCGGCCTGTCGCAACCTAATCAATTGCATCGGGCGCGTGGATGCGACGTCAATTGGACGCCTTCGCCTGCCTCGAAACTCAGCAGTCCGCGATCGCAAGGCAATCCTGGATCGCAGTCAGGCAGCAACCCAGTTCTGGGAAGAAGGCTGGCACTAGCCCTGTATGATGGAACAGCTATCACTGTGTGACTCCAAAGGCATGGAAGGCATGGAGAGAACACCCACTGGAGCTCGTCGTATGTAGGCTATATTTGGGACGTATGACGTGGATTGCTTGCCGTGGGAATCATTTTGTATCATAGGTATCCCTCCCGGGTATCACGAAATGCACCCTTACCCACGTGAGTGCACATTCGTGCGACCAGAAGGGTGCGCGTTCGTGTCTCCTACCCAGCTGGTGGAACGAACAAGAGTAGACAGACCGGACAGGCAAGTATTGCAGCTGCATTGATTGGTGCATAGCTTGCTGATAGTAGTATCCGGCATCACCGTAGGTTTTCAAAGTACCAATCGGGTGGTATCAGATTGATCTTCTCCCCTGCGCTGAAGAGTTCCTTTGCGGTCTACACAATTCCCAATCTGGCGATATCACACGGGAGTGGAGGCGGCCCCCAATGCTCCCGCGCGATGTAGGTAATCACAATTTGCGGCCAGGATCGCCAGGCCAACAAGAGCTGATGGCTTTCGAAAACCAAGTCGTAAAAATAAATCCCGTCTCCCAAAAATAAGTACCGTAGGAATATCGGGTTTGGATGATTTTCGGCCCAAGGCATTTGCAGGCCGCATAATCGCCCGCATACAATGGCCGCGCCCATTGCCATTGTCCCCGGCGGCTGTCTGAAGGAGGTCGTAAATAACGGACAAGAGTCGCGCGCTTGTTGCGCTACGCTGAGTAATCACACATGATTCGATGACGCTGACGGAGGTTTGACGATATGCAGGTGGGCCGCCATTGCATGAGCACAGCCTTAGCCCTACAGCTGGGCCTGTGTGGCTGGCATCAGCGGTAAGGGTGCAGTCTTTCGATTTTATCCTATGGTTGGGTGCGTAGCGGTCAGTTTTCATACCGATATATGCATGTAATCCATTCGTGATTGCCAAGTTGGTGGCAGTTCAGTAAATTGGTTGGGTTGGATTATCCGGTCCTGGTACTCTTGGTCTCTGGATTTCGGTGTGGTAAGGGCCCATGAGGCTTAGACTCTCTACCGATCGGCCACGATAGTCGGTATTCCTCCTTCCTCCGATGGCAGGTGTTCTGCAACACCGGATGTTCCTCTAAGCTAGGCATTTTCAGAGTCAGAAATAGGTACGCGGAAAAGAGCAACGGACAAGGACAGGGTGGGTACTTACTTCTCATCCGTTCTGACGGACAAACATACACAAGAAAGGCACATGGGAACGGTACTTGAAGCCCTATTGTTCGAATAATCTAAATTTAAACATTTGTAATGCCTCGCTGAATTGTACCCAAAATAAGGAAACAGCACATCACATTTCCATCTCATCATATTGTGGCATAGCCCACTGCTCCCACATTCGCCCTCGTTGCTATGTTATACCAACACGCTCCAGATTCGCTTGGCGATCTGAAGCTCAATGCTTTGGCCCACCCTAAGAGCCGAATATCATGAAATCTCTACCGAAAAGAAAAAGAAGAAAAGAACACATGGGAAGAAGAAGAATAGTAATAATAATAAAAGAAAAATTGCTGAAATGAGGGTAGAAGAATCAGCCGCACCTCGGAGCGTTGTTCATCGAGAGCTGACCAGTAGACAGGAGGATTGGTACATGTTGAACAAGACCGAATACAAAAGGAAAACCCGTTCACCCTTTGAAGAGGGTATGCACTTCATGAAACCATGTCATCTCGTCGTCCCTGATGAATTGCAACGATGTCTGCGGTGAGAAATAATAGTAATATGTATATACCGAGTGATGAGCGCCAATCCAAGTGAATCTTATGTCTGGAGACACGAGTAAATAAAGGCCCAGCCTGTAGATGATGTTGTGTCCAAGCTTGAATCAGTTACTGCTCTATCCGAGGAGAGGGCGCCTGCCACCCGTTTAGGAACGCCATGAGCCCCATGCCGAGAAGCACTACGCCCACAGCGGAAGCATAGGGCAACCCAACTTGTAGTGACTGCGTTCCGCGGGATACATCATGAGGATGGAGGGCTGTTATCGTGTTTGCTCGCGACAACGTTGGCTCATCGCTCGTGTCAATGCTTGACCCGGAACCGTCTGCTTGAGCAATGCTGGAGTCATCACCAGCAGCTGATGGGTCGGCATTGGCAGTGGCGGCCTCGTCCTCGTTATTAATAGCCCGTCTTCGGGATCTCGATCTCGTTTCTTTTTGGTTCGCCACATGCCTAGCCTCCTCTGCACGAAGTTGAACGACCATCTCGGCCAGTGTCTTACGATCTGCGTCTCGTTCTGATTCCGCAACCTCGCATCGCTGCTTCCAATGCTCCAACTGCTCCTTGAGTTCGAGCATTTGGACATCCATGGCATCGATTCGCGACTGGAGAGAAATTGCGATTTCCTTGGCCGCATTGTCTTCTGCTGCCGCTGCGTCACGATCCTCGGCACCTTCATCCTCATGTTGCTCGACGGTTTTAGACAGTTGCTCAGATTCGTCATTCGTCTCGGGGGCGGACTCCACTGAAGGGGCAATGACAACACCATTCACCTGACTGCTGGCAGACTCTTCTAACCGCTTCGCGAGCTCCTCCGCCTCTTCGCGAGCAACCCGCTCTTCTTGCAGCATTTGCTCAAGCTCTCGCATGCGAGCTGTTTGGGTATCAATATCTCGCTTGGCATTTTTCAAGGCCTCGGTCAGTTGCAGGATTTGGCTGGAGTTGTCTTGGCGTATAGGAGATGCATTTTGTGGTCCTGCTTTGGGACGTTCGATTGATCCACGCTTCAGAGATGGTACATCTGGTTTCTCGGGTAACGGTTGTTGAGGGGGAGGAGCCGGAGGCTCTGAAAAGCGGGCTTTGCCATCAGGTCGATACGGAACGCCGTTGCCATTTACCACGTGCTGAGGCAGCGGTTGCTCTGGAATCTCGGACTTCTCCAAATCTTTGACGTCGTTCTTTGACAATAAGGTTGAGACAAACTGATTCGTTCGTCCTAAGTCTTGGGCCTGGAGACGAGCGCTTCGCATCTCGTTCTGTCCATGAGTTAGCGGATACATTTATTCATTTGTTAAGGAATGAGTGAGCAGAAAGCTAGCCTTACCATGAGCCGTTTTAATATTTGATCAGTTGCAATGGGTGAAAGGAAAAAAGGGCGTTGTTGAGCACCTTGTCCGTTCATCGGAGCACCGGCCGGTACCATGCGGCCATTGCTGGCGTTGCTGCCGGCTCGCCCACGCATCGCCATGGCCCCATTAGACATCATGTTGCTGTTTGCTGGGTCCAGATCCCCAAAGCTCATGTCTAGCACATTGCTTGAAGGGCTCATGAAGCCGGCATGCTCAACCTTGGCAGCGACTTTGTGATGCACGATCGTCTTTTGATCCTCGCTCACAATATCGATACCAAGTTCGAGGTGATCACCAGTTTGCAACTCGTGGGGATCAGACTCCCGGTTCTCTTGTGACAACCGCGAGCCGTTG